GATTTTCCTGCCTGCCTAGGGGACGCTCTTGGGAAGAAGGGACGGTTCCCCTGTCAAAGGAACGACATATCGTCTCATTCTTGGCGTCTAGGATATCTGCTCGTCGTGCGTCGGAGGTGTCTATTTATAAATTATATTATATATTTTCTATTGGTCGAAGTTTGTTTCTATGGCTAGAGTTTGCCTTACATTTCCAGCTGTTTATTGAAAAATTATCATCCTTCGGTTCATCTAGAATTCCAGTGTATCTTCGCATGCGTTTAATCTTCTCATCATTGTATTTATTGGTTGATTTCCGGCTTAAGTTGGAGTTGTTTGACTGCTGATAGGACGTTCGAGGACAGCCATGGAGGATTGAGTCTAGTTTATAAATTAATTTAATCAATTAACGGTTAAGCCATTATATAAATAAACTAAACTTGATTAAGGAATCGTATTCCTTAAATTCAATGGTTTTTATTGCCGTATAGAGATCACTTAGGGATCTTGTTGAAAAATAGCAAAAACATGATGGAAAACAATCGTCTTGCTTTCATTCATTTGTCATAGCACAGGCGATAACTTTTTTCGCTATCCAGGCTCATGCTGACGCTGCTCCTTCTGCTCTTTGCTGCTGTTCCCTTTTCATTTTGCAGAGTTAGTGTTAGTAAGGTTTTAAATTTACTTCTTCAGTGAGTTCTGTTGACGTTGCATTAAGAATCATTTCGGTTCAGCTTCGCCTAATTGTTTGTTACTTTTGTGAAAAAAGTTTTCCGTGAATTTAATTGCATGTCGAATATGCAAGCAGGGTTACAACAATAGAATTTTTTATGTTGTTATCTAATTGTTCATTGATTTTCCTATAGGCCACGATTTGCAGTCACTTTTTTAATGTTAGGTCATTAATGGAATATTTGTATAATTTATCAAATCACTGGAAGCAAGAGATTTTCTACTCAACTAAAACATGGTGGTCACTCAAGAATTTCATCAAACTTATTCCTTTGTAATCAATACAAATTATTGCCCGAACCCTGAGTTATTTTGAGAATGAATAATTTATTTATTGAAGCAGTCTTGCCCGGTCTCAGGAAAGGATAGCAAGAGATTTTCTACTAAACTAAACAAGGTGGTCACTCAAGAATTTCACCAAACTTATTCCTTTGTAATCAATACAAATTATTGCCCGAACCCTGAGTTATTAATATGAATAATTTATATATTAAAGAAGTCTTGCCCGGTCACAAGGAAGGTTGCGCTGACCTCGTAGCGGTTCACAACTCTCTACTGCAGGACGCCCGGCCTAGAGAACCTGCAGCCAGCAGCTCTCACTAGCTCCACCGCCACGCTAGGGAGAGGGCGAGAATACCTCTCTCCCCATAATAAAGTAATGCATACAAATCAGTGATCTCAAGCTTAAGTCAGTGAATATGTATGAAAAATTATTATTTTGTGGGGTTTGGCCCCTTGCAGAACCGCAAATTGTGTCGGAGGGAAAACCTCGCAAACGATTCGGGCCCGGGCTATGTTGTGCCTTGTTTGACATTAAGTGGGACTTCAAAAAGTACTGGTGATTACCCTCAAAAGACATGATACGCAACAAAAATTTAGGTTTTGGCCAAAATTAGCACTTGAAACAAAATTGAACGCGATTATTTAATCATTTGAAACGATGATTGTCTTATGATGCGCATGCTGGTGCTTTGATGAAACCGTGCCTGCCTCTTAATATGGATAATTTCTGAAAGAGAAATTCAGTGAAATGGTTGAAACTTGATAGCCCCTGCCTCTGGTAATCTCACAGAAACGAGTGTTCCATCTCTTATGTTTCATAATGAGCAACTAATAGAACAAAGTTCATGCTATCCGAAAATGTCTTGTTGAAGTTTTTAAAAATGTTAACCATCAAGCGTCAGGTTTGATCATATTCTAATTCAAAGGAATATTTATTGTTCAATAATTGATTACGAAAAATTTTCTAATAAAACTTACTTTTTAGAAAAAAATATTTCCCAAGTTGACGTGGTAGAGATTTCAACGATATAGTTTTCTGAAATATTGATCGATCATGATCTTATAAGCAACCTATCTAGTTNAACTATGTGGAGTAGCAGCTTGTGTGCTGAAGCAGTGTTGGTTTAAAGTTCGTGTGGTGAGATAGGTCAATTGACTACAGCTGCTTAGATGCCATGATGACAATATCTATAGCATTTAGATGGTTGATGTTGGCTCCAGGGCTGATTTGAGCGTTAATTTGCTGGTCTACGGCTGCGCACCCGTCCATTTGTAAATAAGCAATAAAAATTTCTAAGCTAGGGAAGAACAGAGTAATGTATTCCGAACGTTTTTTTTTAAATAAACAAAGAAAAAAATGAATTTTGATGAAAAATGTTCATAATGATGTCAGGTAAATGTTTATAAATGGAGACTAAATTAATACACTGTGGGAATATTGACATGATTTAAGTGAGTAGCATGCCACAATATTGATGAATCACTTCAACAATTTATGTTGTGAAATGTTTAAAATATTTTGCATCTCTGGTTCTCCGCTGGTGGCAAAAATTCAATTGCGCTCTAGAATAATTAACAGGTAATTATTTTTGGACAGATCATTTGAGAACATAGAAATTTAATAAAGTAAGAACTTTTATAAAGCTCCTTAACCTCATCATAGGGAATTTGTGTCCTCTAACATTTGTGATAGACTACTTTCAAACCTACCCGCGATAATTTGAATTTCACTATCTATGTAATTTCCAAATTTTTCATTTCAATTTCTCTTTATCCTTAGGATTCTCTGTCGTGAAAATGAATCGAATACAAAACATAAGTAGAATTTACTATATTTAATAATAGAATGACAACTTCAATACGATCGATCCCTCGCTACTGGGGGTCATTTGTATTCAATAAAAAATTACGGCCTTTTGTGCTAACCATCATAATGTTGGCATTCCTCAGTGCAACTTTTCAGTTTCAAGATAATTCTCTGATCCTAGACGTAAAAGATCCATCGATATTTTCCTCACATTTTCCATCAACTTCTCAGTCCCGAGGCCATTTGAAGATCTTCTTTACCAGGGAACCATTCTTCCAAAATTACTCTCGACACGAAGAAATGATGCCAGAATCAAAATCATCATCAAAGAGATTCATCTTCGACGGAAACCCTGCCCATCCTGTCTTCAGACAACAAGGGTTGCCACGAGATACTGATATTCAAAGCGGTTTCGAGCAGCCGGCAGCTCCAGATCCCGAGTATGGTCCCCAAAATTTCGTGGGATATCAGACGAGTCGAAAGAAGGAAGATTGGCGCCCTAATCTGATACATAAAACGGCTCAGATAAGTGGAGTTACTTCCACAAAGCCTCATCTTTACACAGACTATGACAGGCTAAGGAATGAGAATATTTTAAAACAGCTTGTTCCTTTTCACAAGAGTTTAGATGAAGTAGATAGTGTAATAAAAGAGACATCAAATTCGTCACCGAACACCAAACCCATTTTGATCAGTCAAGTCAATTCCGAAGTTGTCAAGCGAGCCACTTCCACTGAGTTGCATTCTCTATCTTCTTCAGTATTAACAGCGCATAGTGATGCCAAATGGACAAGAATAACTGATGACTTGTACGTCTATAGTTCGTTCTGGGACGACCGAGCGGCCTTTCATGCCCCTTTCTCTAGGACGTTAGGAATACTCAAATATAACGAGAGCTTCGCTGTGAAGCAGGGATTTCAACCTACTGGTGAATTGAAGCCAGAGGCTGCGAATGTTATCTGCTATTTGTGGCATTCATCCTACAATCAACCAGTGGTCGGTAGAGTAACAATTTCGTTCTATGAGGAACGCTTTGATTCATTCGTAGGGATCTTCCTCAAGTGTCATCCTCCATTTCCAGCGAACTTTACTCATTCAAGCGATCAAGCTTCAACAATGCGATCTATTTCTAACTTTTATGCCGTTTCGTTCATTCCTAAAGTCTCGATTGACTATCCTCACAAAATGATTTACTTTGAAAATTCATCTCCAGACGCGAATAGACCAAGGAATACGCGTAGTTCGGCTGTGTGCGTTCGTCCATTGTACGGTCCCTACAACGGTACTGACTCTCTACTTCAGTTCGTGATATACTACTCAGCTGTTTTGCACGTTAATCAATTTTATTTTTATGACCTCGCGATGTCTCATTCAATAAAAGAGCTAATGAGGAAGCTCCAAGATGCGGGGATGGCCCTTGAAGTAATATCTTGGAATTTGCCTACTGGAAGCTGGTCAGAGCTATGGGACTATGGCTCCCTGTCAGCCATGAACGATTGTGTGTATCGCGCCATGAGGAAATTTGACCACGTCATTATAGTAGATATAGATGAGTTCTTGGTATCTAAGACCAAATCCAACGTTGCAAATATTTACGAAAGCGTACTGCGTCAAAAAACTGGTAAGCATGGCGATGCCGTACTCGTTCCCAACGTCTTTTTCTGTTCGGAATTCGCGGGCAACCTCGAGCCAACAGGGAAGAAGATCACCGGAGCTCCAAGCTATCGCTTCAAGTTACCCATATTCAAGAAAGTCATTCGTGAGTCACGCGCCTGGCCTGCGACTATCCGTTCTAAGTTATTACTCACGCCCGGCACGGTAGAATCTGTTGGCCACCACATGGTGAACCATTTTGTAGCACCTTCGTATATAAACCTAGGAGCATCAACGTCACAGGTTGTCATGAATCACTACCGCGACTGCAAAGGTCTGCATCACGGCCTCAACAACACAGGACTTACCGTTCTCGGACAGCCCACTGCCCGCGACATCACCATGTTGAAATACGTGGACATTTTCATGAAAAGTAAACTGATGAAAAAGTTCAAGGAATATTTACTGTGATATTTATTTTCTGTCATGTGTTTCGTTACGTAACATCTTTAAGGTAATTTTCCGAAGACCATTCTACAGTTATCTGCATTTTTACATAATAGAGACTAAGGCAAAATCTATTATAAAATATTTGAGAATTTTTCGTTCGTATTATTCTCCGGTCGACAACCCGACACGTTCATAGGTCGGTAATGTTCTCGTGAAATTGTTAAGAGTCGTAGTGGCTCACTAATATATGCGTCACGAACACATATGCATTTCAACATTTTTTTCTAAACGCGCCTTACCAAAAAATTATGACAATAAGTGATGACATTTATCGGAGTATTATATGCGACGCATAGTAGCTGGCATACGTTACCTTTAATACCACGCTAATTTAAGATAGAAGTTCGCAATTTCTGAACATTGATCCATTTCTTCACAATTCCGTTTTAGAGCATTTTCTCATATATGGAAAAAAATTCCCAATTGTGCTTGTCATGTCCGTCCGTCCGTCTGTCCGGCCGTGACTTCACGTTTTCGTCGACGAGAAAATGCGCTCTCTATCACTCACTGGAGTGAGTAGAGTTATATTTTTTAATCATTCGGACATTATGTCTCATAATAACCAGGCAGCCATTTGTTGTCCTCGAATAAAGCTTGATATCGTCACAAATAAATCGCTGTACAGGGATCTAATGATCTCAGAATATATTAGGTGCCATGAGGCTCTCAGAGACAAGAAGGATATAAATCAGACGTGGCTCGTCTTTGGAGTTGTTTACTAACTGCATTACCTAACTAAAGCAAGAAAATAGCCTCGACAACATCAAAATTAAGCCGTGCACCGACTGAACTAACCGGGTACCTCACGCCTCATATCATAGGTTTTTCTGATCCGCACAGCATAATAATGTGATCATTTGACAATATTTTGTGATCTTTGAACACTTTTTAGTTCACGAAAAATTACACGGATTTTGCCAACCTGCCAACACACGTACAAAAAAGGGCACAAGTAATGTTAAAGCTAATACTTCATAAAACTGGCAAGTTCCCTGAAGATTTCTTCGCAAAGCTAATGTAAATAAATTCTGTGTTCGATATAAAATCCTCTAACCTTCTTCCGACCACAGAGGTGGTGCTAAAACATTCTTAATGACTGGCCAAGTGAACGAAGTTTGCCAACTCTCGTCTAAGTCTAATGGTTTGAAAAAAAAGTTTCATGACAACACAATGTCTGATGCTGCTACAGCACCGAAACGCATGCTATTTTCATGACTGTAAACAAAGAAAGTTATTTCCCATTAGAGAACTCGTGTAATTTTCTAATTTTTCTTGAGGAATTGGGCTATTATCCCGCTGAAAAACTTGCAATCGTCATAGCAAACCACAACTTTGAGAAAATGCAGAGACATCTCAACTTGGTCATAATAGTATAGGCGAAGAATAATGAAAATTTTCAACACATGGAGATATGGAAAGTCAATCTAACCGATACTTTAGAATGGAAAAACACATATGTTAACTTACACGCTCGCGTTTGATTGAAAAAAAGTACACAGGAAAAAGTTCTAGTGCGAAATCAACAAAGAAAAACGAAGTTTTTTACTTCTAAGTAACGGACGTAAACGCTGGCTCAGCATGAAGCACACCTGCAATCATGGTAACTAGAAGTTCCAAGTTGAGACTATGTTTATTCATTAGGAAAACAACGGCCCCACAATACAAGATTGGCCAAGGGTGCTGCTACTCGTAGAAATATTTCTCTCAAAGCTACAAGAACCTTCATTCACTCTTCGCCTTAAACGCTAGACTAACATCAACACAACACCAAATCTTCACTTAATATTCATTAGCATGATATTAGGAATTTATATAGAAAATAGCTCTATTGTTCATATAATTTTCTGTTTATTATCATAAATTATCACTACATATTTTACATTTTGTTACCTCCTTAAGCATAACAACCAACAAAAAAAGGGAACATCGAGGAAGGTGAGGGCCGAAGTGTCATAGTGACCTCACTACCACATAGCAATACTACACGAGCGCACTTTACATTTCTTCATCTAAAAGCGTCTAAAATTCCCTAACTTACCAAAAGCAGTACACAAAAATGAAATTTGCAACCAGGTAATACACTGAGGTGAAGCGGACACGCCACATCACGCCTAAACGGTCTCATGACCTAACGATGCACTCACGTTATGGCAATGACGGCGGCTCGACAGAATGAAATATATTCGATTTCATTCGAATCTAGAGTCGAGTTAAGCGTCATAGATGTCACTACCGTTTTCATCGTGAACTGTTATTTAAAAGTATGTTACTGGCTGCAAACAAGCAGGATCAATAGATCTGATGGATGATTAATTCAAATATTCTAATGCGAAAATTGTATGACTTCCGTACTAGACGTCATCATCGGCACATGAGTGAAATCTTCAATTATTTTTTCGGTGAATTGTCGAAACGAAACGACAAATTTCAACAGTGGAAATTCGAAGACGCAACAATGATTGAACATTGGAAGTTCAATTTCTGAGTGACGCACAACGAAAGCAACGTGAACTTTTTGGAAACTATAGTAAAAAGTGCAAAAATCTAGATCGTTTTCGAAAAGAAAAATAATTATATAATCTAGATCGAAAAGAAAAATAATTAATAAACCAATCTGCATGCAACGTCGCAGTGACTCAGATACGAGATTGTTAGTGTGGACGCAGCCAACCACACAGGATGAACAAGACGACTCGAGACTAGTAGCGAACAATTGCCCTATGCAAAGACAATAGGAAATTATCAATCAAGAGAAAATTTCAATAGATATGAACACCAAAAAATTCTAGACAAACAAACAAGTCACTCCGATATTAAAAGAAAAAATATATTCCTAAAAAATATCATTAAAAGTTTTCAAATCGACATACCAGATGACTTTATTATGGTAAAACAAAGAATCATTAGGTATTCCAGATACTCGAACACATTGGAATATAATGACTATAAAAGTTCAACCAAGGAACTGGCGCTTTACATACTGAATTACTTGAATTAGCAGGCGTAAAAATATTCAATATGTCGTGCCTCCATGAAAATGAAACCGCTGGTTTTTCTTGTACGGTCATATCAAATAACTGAAAAGTTAAATAACTTTAAATGCAGACTTGGAAAGCCTTATCAGTGATGCGAGGATCGAACTCGTACAAACCCCTCAAACAAAAAACCAATTAGTTAAATAACACGATATTACACTGCGAGGTCAGTCACTCACCAAAATTCATACTTAATAGAATTTTTTGAGAGAAATTCAAGGAATTAAAACGGATGAGGCAAACAGAAGAGTGGGGGAAGGCCAGGTGGGAAGTACGCAAATTGCCTGCAAGCCGCCCTCGTCTGGGGAAGCAGTTTAATTTCTGCTCTTACAATTGCGTACTAAATATCTACCAGCTGAGCCCATACTTTCAAAAAAAGTTAAGAGATCGTAAGTTCATCAGCCAATCATTGACGGCCTTTCAAGCAAAATTCACCAATTATTGACAAGAAAATAGAGCGTAAGTACTTACGTTCACTTAGCGAGTTTTGAAAGTATGGCCTCAGAAATTTATCGCAAACGTATAAAATAAGAAATTCTGTTTTACTACAATAAAATTCCTTTAAAAAACAGACAAAAAACTCCTAGCGATTACGTTAGTAAATTACTGAATACATAGCAGTGGGCGACATTCTAGACTCTAGAGTATCAAATACGGTGTGGGAGATGAACTGGAAACGGGAAGTTTAGTTCAGGAGCATTTGCATGTTAAATAGATTACACGGAGAATATACGGGACAGGATAAAATAAATACACAAGAATGTTCAGCAAAATGTCAGCTCCTGACTTGCCACCGAAAAGAAATAAACTACTATTTTACGAGGGACTTGCCCACCTAATTCGTACTTAATTACGCAATAAAACTGAGATAATGGAACATAAAACATAACAGATTACATATTAACACCAATTAAGGAGGAAAAAATGCTACTAACAAATATCTAAAGCGAGTACACTTGACTTGTTGAGGACAGGGCGAGAAATGTGGCTACCACAGACGAATTATGGGCCGTTGTGCCTGCGAAAATAATCAAAGCCAGCTTAGAACATGCAAAAAAACGCTATTGTTTTGCTGGATGTTTCGGAATGATGGTCCAGAAAACAATCTTACCACGGACTTCATGAAATATCTTGGAGCCGTTTAATCTTGAATTTCCTTCGGGTCTCGATATCACATTTTAATTGAATAATTCATGCATTATTCAGAGCGACGAGTGAATCAGAGGAAAATAGTTCATGGAAACGCGTGATGAATAATAAGGCCAACAAGATTTCTCTGAACGTAACATTGTATTGTTCAATAAAATACGTCGAACCAAACTGATTCTGGGTCGAAATTAAAATTTAACAACAGCCGAGACACACACCGTACGTAAATAGGGTGGCCCAGTGGTTACAGTTCAGAGTACTAGAATTGGCGCAGAGAGGCGCGGGTTCGATCCCCGCAAAATGCTGCGACTGTTCTGCGATGTTCAGAATCGGCGACAGGCCTACGGCCTAATAAACGCTGGAACCGCTATTATTATAATACGGTACGATTTGATCAGATTCGAAGGAAGGAAGATCCGTAATTTTTGCTTCCGTCGATTTTTCCCGCAGTCAACTTTTATCCCACAGGAATTCGATCCCTGTTCTCAAGTAATTAATTTTCAATTCACGAACGAATTGCAGGTTTATTTTTTATAAAATGAAGAAAGCAATATTCTTATTGATGACAATATATCATGAGATTCTACCTACCGTAGAAAATAAATAAAATAAAACCTTTTAAATTCGTTTATGACCCAACAATCGGCGTAAAATGACTAAAGTTGCTGAACATTTTCAAATTAAAGTGTAATCGTGGGAGTGTCAAACGTAGATTAAACGGTGATTGTTCACGTCATACAAACAACGCAAGATTGCAATTCACTCTGACTCCCGAGCATTCACGCCAGATTTCGAACTGGAGTCAACGTAAACAGGTTCAACATCTGATCAAAAACGTCAGCCTACGTCTAATAAGTAATAGAATTTCACCTCCAAAACTTTAAGCGCACATAACCGACCACATTTTCGAGACATTTTAGAACAGAGATTCTTGAGGATTCTCTTCTGCCTGTAGTCGAAAAGTACAAGAACTTTATACTATAATTCTCCTAAAAATATCTCAATGTTGAATGGCGATCTAACGTTCAAAATTAAAGTAAATTGGCAGTGGCAGAATATCGATGAGACAATAGATAATGTTGTCTTTAAAGTGACAATTAGCGAACATAGGCGTACGATGAATATCTCATGAAGGATAGAGGTGATTTTGCACGTCATTAACTTTGAATAACAGACTTATTAATTAAACGCGGTACCGGTACATGAAAACTTAGAAGAGTTTTCATGTACCGCTGAACATTTTACTCATAATACTGAACATTTTACTCAGTATTTAATTGGAGTATCGATGAGATAACAATTCCGACTTGCACCCCATTTTCACATTTACCTTTCATGCTGACACTCGCCAGCATTTCAACTCACATGTAAAATATCCCTCCATGCTGACACTCGTCAGCATTTCAACTTTACCTGCAATACTCATTGAACGTGAGGACATAGCACGTGTTACCTGCAATACTCATTGAACGTGAGGACATAGCACGTGTCTTCGATGCAAGCCACGCTAAGATGGTCCCGGTGCTTGGACGCGAAAATCTCATCAGACAAATCGTGCGCCTGGCGCCCCAGTTCTGTGTGCTCAGGCCGGTAGTACCATAGGATGGACATCATCATGTCACCTGTAGGAAACCGATAACATCAATAATCAGGAAAGTTTATAAATCAGAGGTCTCCAAACTATGGCCCGCGGGTCGGATCAGGCCCGCGGGTCGGATCAGGCCCGCGGCTAGGTTCCTTCCGGCCCGTCGAGAATATCTCGTAGTTCAACATAATGTGTACGAAAATCGAGTGTGGCGTTTATTTCTGGTTACGTTGACCTAAAAACAGTAAATGGGCGTGACCGGCCCGCGAAGATTTCAGAAAGCTTGCCCAAAGTTTGGAGGCCCCTGTTATAAATCATGGGAATTCATGATATAAGCATTGAACTGTCTTATTAAAGAAGTGAACTGTTTTCTAAATATTCGAACGGTAGTACCATAGGATGGACATCATCATGTCACCTGTAGGAAACCGATAACATCAATAATCAGGAAAATTTATAAATCATGGGAACTCATGATATGTATCAATCAATCGTCAGTTATGGAAAGATAGGGTTCCAAAGGTAGGATCCCTTGTGAATCAAGTCACGAAAAATTAAAAAATCGGCAACAGACCATGGGCCTATTTCTTCAATACCATCACTTCTATTCTATATAAGCATTGAACTGTCTTATTAAAGAACTAAATTGTTTTCTACATATTTGACGAAGTATACAACGATAATACAAATCTCGACAACTGACTGGTGTCAGGATCCTCCCAAAGCGCGGCGACCTTCGCCACGAAAGGCAGGTCGGCCTTGCGCGGACCAGACCTCAGCAGGACGCAGTCGCGCACGCGCACCAAGTCGCCCTCCTTGTGCTGCATGGCCGTGTAGCAGGTGCGCGTGATCAGCACTTCGTCGTTCTGATAAGATCGAAATAATAATTATAACATACCACACAGGAACAAATAAGAACAAGCCATGCTAATCTTATATTGTAGACCGTGATTTAAATCTACATAAATGAATATCGGACTCGGCCGAAAAACAGCACCGTGAGCTTATTGTCGGGCAATCAATAACTTCAAGTTACATTTAGTGAAAAACTGAATAATCTCACAAAATGGGGCACAAAATATTGCGAAGCAATATACCGGTATTTTCTCTTGAAAGATAACTATCATGCAACCCTATTCGAAAAGCCATCACTCACTCTGAGCCAAATTTTGCCTTGGTATGGCTCTCCTTCCCACGACCAGCCATGGGAATACTTTGGTTTCTTAAGCATCTTGCTCTTGCCAGTACCGCTGGACGAGCGTCTTCTTATACCCTTGGATGGAAAGGAAGGGAATGCTCCAGGACCCGCGGCTTTAGCGCCAACTCTGCTCTTCGACTCAGAGTCTCCAGCAGCAGAAGAGTTACAAGCGCCAGGCTCCGTCGAGCTGGGAACATCAGAGTCCACGTTGGACGAGTCGTGTTCATTTTTTTCTTTGAGGTAAGCCAGGAGACTATTCTTGCAGCGAGACTTGACCTCGGTTGTTTTCCGCGCCACTTTGCCTCCTTTTGCTTGCTTACTGCTTTTACTTTGCTGTTTGGACGGCTTGGTGTTTCGGTTGGGCGGGTTACTTCCTTCCCTGCTAGAGCTCGAGTCGGATTTCGTTACTTTAGTCTCATCGGCACAGGATCTTTTTACAGCACTGGGTTTGAACTTCCCTCCCTGGGCTTTGGTGTGCTCTGAGAGGACAAAGTTGAGCTGCTCGCATGAAGAAGGAATTTGACTTTGTCCACAGGACAGATTCTCGACACCCAATGCCTCGATGAGTCGGTCCACGTCTTTTTCCGGAAAATAGTTCACAGAACCGAGGTTGCCATTCGCAAGCTTGTAGTTGTTTACAGGAAATTTGTTACAATGAAAATCTCCCGAGTAGCTGGCATTTGGTGACACCTTCTCTGATTTTATTTTGGTTACAGATTCAGTTTTCACTTGCAACGACCTCTTTAGATCCAAGTTGTTTATATCTAATTTAGAATCTTTTGAATCTGCTTTGCTTGGAGACAATTTCTGAGGAGCCGACTCTTTTTCCTCAGTAATCTTTATTTTAAACTGATGAATCAAGGCAGACTGAGGACTGCTCGACTCACCATGAGCTCTCACGTTTTTTGAATCGCAACGAATATTGTTAGAGAGCGTAGAATTTTTTACTGTCACGACACTTTCATTTTCGTGGGCAGGTTTGTCTTTAATCTTGGGAGGTCTTCCTCTCTTCCTGACTGGCGAGCTGCCCGAACTTGTGCTGCTTTGCTGACTAGTAACGAGATTATTTCTACTTTTGGCTTCATCGTTTGGGACCAAATCAACTTTTCTCTTGGTACTGGTAAAATTAGGTGCTACACAACCATTATCAGCATTATTTTCAGTCACCTCTGCCTTTATGTGTGTGGCAAGTTTCTTTTGGCCGGGGGAAATATTTAGAGGCTTGGCTCTTGCAGTTGCATTTTTAGACTGGGAATGAGCGGGCACCATTTGACATAACAGATGTCTGGCACCAAAGCGCGGGTTAGGAGAGTTAGAATTGCTGCGTTCAAGACTAGTACGGCTGGTATGTATGACCTTGCTCGAAGAAGAAGACCGACTTAAAGGACGATCAACACTGGAAGACAACTGGCTATCATGTTCTACTATCGAAGTGCTAGAAACTGAAACTGAGCACGAAGCAGGCAAGAAAGAAGAATTAGAAGAGAACTGCAGGTCTGACTGAGAAAGAAGAAGAAGGTCATTGGCAACCGAGAGGTCCGTGGCATCATCTGACGGGAATGGAAGACAGGGGCTGTCAGAATCCCGAGAATCTTGACCTAACAAAGGCCTGGAACTTGTTGACATAAGAGGAGATGACGCACTCGTCGTTGCCTGAATGTCTTCAGAGCTCATTTGCGTTCGGTCTATGACTTCGATATCGGATGCTTTGTCCGAGCAGGAACCAGCAGACGAATCCACTTCTTTGACGATCATCGAAGCGCTCAGATGAGGCAAGGCTGACGCAATAGACCGCCTAATATCGCAGGAGTTTTTAAGGTTACCTCTGTGATTGGCTCCAACGCCATTGCAAGTAGCACTCATCTTACTGTTATAAACATCAGAAGCGGGTTTAAGTCTCTGATTGCTGAGGATTTCTGGAGGCGGTGGGGGCTTTTTTGTTCGGATGTTTGCCGACGCATCACGCAGCGCAGCGGTTGTAGGTGCAAGTTCATCTTTGCTGTCCAAGAGAGGGTTGCTCGTAGTCGAGTTTATAGAAGGCACTTGCGGCGATGACTTTGCATGCGGACTGACTCTCAGAGAAGTCTTGCTGTTGTTCGAGGAGATTTTGGCGGAAACCAGTGACTGAGTTTCAGAGGAAACTTGCAACATTGGAGAGGAGTCCTCTTGACTGAAGGGTGAGGAAGGCAGAACGTTGGCGCTCGTGATGGTGCATGAGTTTAACTTACGAAGATTGGCTAAAGTGGCGGCGATGGAAGAGTTCGCGGCAGAAATTTCCCTCTTGCTCGTACAAGACATCGTGGATGACGATGAATCCCTCTTAGATTGTACATCGTTAGATGAAATTTTGGTTTTCGTTAATCTTTGGCTATCACACATAATAAAAGAAGACTTAGAATCTTCTTCCGAATATGAAGAACTTAAAATCCCGGGATGTGAGGCCGGGCTAGACTCTCGCGCTGACCTCCCCGAAGAATCCGGCGACTGTTGCTGGCGGCGACAAGAAGACGGAGGAGAACATTCCAAGTCGATCAGCTCAGCGTTCTTTGCTGTCACGCCGGCCGTTCCTTGCTTCAAAGACCCTAGCTGAGAAGACAAGTGCTTGCTGGTTGGCATGGCTGCAGTTTTTAACGCTGGTTGCCGAGATTTTGATGCCGCGTCCTTTGATAACTGTGACGGCGGCCCGTGGCTGGCCTGCGAAGGAGAAGGTCTCGACGCAAAAGGTCCTCCTGGACCAGGGTTCTTGCCCATTTCGAGTCTGACGCCACAGCAGCCACCAGCGACACCTGTAACAATATTAATGCTGTTGACTATTGTACATTTACTGAAACTTTCACACAAAAAACTCGTGTTGTCAATTTTAATTTCATATTAGGAATATCATATGGTTACATCTTCAAAATAAGTTTGATTTACTCGGTGAAGCAGAAAAATTAAAAATCTGATAAACAGAAACAGTTTAAACAAAGCAGTTCTAAAAATATCTGGAATAAACAGTGAATGACGTATAATATTTTAGTTAATGAAAAATTACGTAATTGCTACCCAATTACCCTCACAAATTATAAAACGACAGATACGCGGTTATAAAACATCACAAATAGAAGTATAAATAGGGCATCATATCAAGACATAACTTTCATTTAACATGCTAAAGATTTACATAACAATACTTGAAAAACAAGCGTGATAAACGTTTATTTTAAACGAAATTAAAATAAAGATTATAGTTTTTTATCGTAATATAGAGTCATCAGCAGCATGCAGTAGGATCGATTCAAAGACCGGCGTTAAGAACGTTTCTATTGAAAAAATTATCGAGACATCAACGGAGAATAAACTAACACAAGAAGAAGACTACGTGTGAATCAAGTACTACCGTCCGTCTACATACTGTTAAGCAGCTACAATACACCTGAATAAAAATAGAAAAGAATATTATATTGAAACAAAACCTTAGTACCTTAACAAAATATGGGGACCGCCTAGACTCCGGCCGAATATATGTATATAGTCACTACACTCGAAGCAAAGTTATTCTGGGGCAAAGTTATTCTGGGTCTGCTTGGCCACCCGATCGGAATCAGTTTCTGGTCAGAATCCCTTTTCAGACTTTATTATCGCCTGAGAGTAGGGCAAGAGTTGGCCGAGCCGAGTCATACCGAGCTAGCAAGCTGCCCAGAGGCTGCCCTTCGAACCCTGAGCCGAAGCAGACATAGAGAAGCTGATTTACGTGCTCCCGAGTCCTAGGCGGCCCTAATGCTGGGTCGCTCATGTCTCTAAATTTTGTTAAGGATATGGTTACATTGGATAAACTTCTACAACGTAGCCAGGCCAAAGAGCTTGGGTAAGCATCCCATGAGTACAAATGATGAATGCATTCAACATAGGAGAAGTGTAAAGAACAAAAATTTGTGTACCCATTTTACTAAACCAAGTCTTTCAAACACCGAAATGAATTTAAATAGATCGAGGGCGCAATTAAGTGAAAAAAAAGAATTGAATGAAAGATACGAACATCGAAAAAAGAAATAATTAAAGAAAAAAAACGGACAAAAATAAGAGGATAAAGCAGCAACTTGATTTTTTTCTACCATGCATCAAATACAAACAAGAAGATAAAAGGTGGACTGATGGTGCGGAAGAAAAGTCGGAAGAAAAACTTTCAAAACTACTCTAGGTAGAGTTTATTTGTAGGAAAAACACCACAAAATAAACTCTAGAACTTTATTTGGTGGGATAGTTACCGATAAAATAAACTTGATAAGCATTTAATCGAGTAGAGTTAAGTGGGTAAAAAATCATATACAAATTATTCCATGAAGGCTTGTCAACGACGAAGGCGCGAACAGAAAAAAATACACGAGCAAACTCGAGCAAAGATGAACGAAAACGAACAAAGAAAGTGAAGCAAAACTGACACACTGAGAACAGTGAGCGTACCGATGGGTTCAGTTGGCTCGGTGAAGTCAGGGTAAGGAGGAGGTGGAAGAGAAGGACGGTAAGGAGTCCGAGGAGATCCAGAGGTGCCATTTCCTCCAGGAGGAACAGAAGGATTGCCAGAAGGAGGCGGTGGAGGAGGCAGTGCTAAAGGATTAGTTTTCAGAGAATGTGATTGAAACGAGTAACTTTCGTACTGTGGAGGATAAGGTACATACTGTCCTCGTTGAGGATAACCTTCAATGGATTGGGGGTAACTGGGACCTTGGTAAGGTTTGTTATTGGCATATGCAGGAGGAGGATATCCTTGGTACGGAGGGTAGGAATAAGAGGGTGAGGCGTAGGACTCGGCGGAGGGATAGGAAGGAAGTGGAGAGGAGGAGCGAGAAGAGTTTGATGGAGGAGCACGAAGAGCGGGTGAAGAAGCATAAGGAGGAGACGTGTACGGAGGAGACACGTCGGTAGTGGAATAGATGGGAGCAGAGAACGGAGGGGAAGAATATGAAGGAGAGGAAAATCCTGAAGAGGAAAAAGGGACGTTTGAGAGGCAGCCTCCCGAAGACCCGGGTGCGGACACTGGTGCTTTGTAGGAGGAAGTTTCGCCGACGCCCGTGGGTATGGGGCCCGTCACGGGCTGGTAATCTGCACACAAGTGTCCCATACACTACAATGGGACTGTACTCTTCCATATACCACATGAAACACAATCTGCACACAAGTGTCCCATACACTACAATGGGACTGTACTCTTCCATATACCACATGAAACACAATCTGCACACAAGTGTCTATACACTACCATGGGACTGGACTCTTCCATATACCACATGAAACACAATCTGCACACAAGTGTCTATACACTACAATGGGACTGTACTCTTCCATACACCACATGAAACACTCAACATTGCGAGGCGACCATCGCACCTTTATAATGTCCCCCCACTGCATGGTGCTCATTAGTCTGTGCTAGGTTCTCGGCACCACGAGAAACATTTAACAACACAGTGAAGAGCTTAGTTGCGTGAGACATATAGGGGAGAATGAGGTTCCTCCCATGCATTTAGTTATAAATAAAACGCGTGTAGCTGGCAGTATTGCATCAAATTAACCACAAGTCGAACAAATATATGACGGTTAGTCAATGAAACATGTGAGTGTAGAGCCCAAATGCAGAGATTGTAGAGGAAAAAAAGAATGAATTGACTTAGAACTTCATGGAAATGGAATGCAGAAGTTTTAGATTCTCAAAATCCCATACATTATAAAAGTAATAAGAAAATCCATTTAAAATCGTTCTGAGAGGCAAAGTCAACGTCGAAAATTGTCCCAAGTAAGAATGTTAAACCTTACCCAAAAACCATACAAGATGATATAAGTATAAGTAACAACATAGCGAGTTTACTTACATCGTAGTCTTCAATTGCCACTTTGTGTTATAGCAATCATAAAACTAACAGAGTGGGAAAATGTGTCACGCTATCATTTGTAATGAGAGGAGCGGTTGTGGTAGAAGAATGCGTGGATAATCTATTTTTCAGGCTTTGGCTTTCAACTTCTCGTAATTTAATAGTGAGATTAAAACCAAGTACGCATAGAATATAAGCGTGATGATGCTGAGAGATAATTATAAAATAAAGTAACAAGTCATAGAAATTGGATAAATCGAAAATTGTACCTGGGAAAATTTAGAATTTCAAAATTAAAGATTCTACTAGTTAAAAAATTTGATTTCATGGTTTAACTTTGTAATGAAAAATATTTTTACTTACTTCGGAGTTTTAATTTTAACAAACTGACGCTCCTAGCTAAATAAAAAGAGGCCAAACAGATTTAATAAATAAGGACCCCCCAGCAAGATTTCAATGACACAGAAATCAAACTGGAAACAAAATGATCCTGTGAATCATGAGACATTCACGCGTCAGGTTGCGCAGCAGTAAATACTGGCAATAAATTTAATCAATAAATTCACGCGTCAGGCTACGCAGCAGTATTGTCGTAATAAATTTATTCAATTAAATAAATATAATCAATAACGCAGACAACAAAATTGAAGTCTCACCCGTGACGGCAGGCACGGCCGGCGCGGTGAAGGCGGACTGATGTCGCTCGTTGGCTTCCGCCAAGGCGGACGGCGACATAAGCTTGCCGGCGTCCGGCGAGAGTCCTGGAGGAGGGTAATGGTACTGAGGGTGCGGCGGCTGCTGCAGCTGATGTTGGTGGTGGGGGGCAGGTAAAGGAGCCATGTGGGCGTCGTCGGAGGGCGGCATAAAGTTCGCAGCGTTGGCCGGGACCATGGGAGGTCGGCATGTAGGGGTTTGGAACTGTTGCTGGTGCCGGGGCAGATTCATCGGTTGTTGCTGCAGCTGATGATGATGTTGCTGCTGATGTTGCATTTTAACTTGTGTTCGCATGTGTTGCTCAGTTTGCATCTGTTGTTGGTGATGCGCAAATTGATGTTGAGGCGTCAGACTATTGACAGCCGAAGAACATGGGACATTTATGCGTCCTCCGTTCATCTGCTTAGAAGAGATCTGCTGATGTTGGTGCATCATTCGTTGTTGATGTTGTGGGTAATACTGCTGCATTTGTTGATGGTTGTTGTGCATGTAATGCTGTTGCTGCTGCTGCTGTTGGTGGTGTGACACGGGTGGCTGAAGTTGCTGAGGCTGTTTTTGAACAGCCACTTGCTGCTGCTGCTGTTGCTGCTGTGGTTGAGTCCTGCCACTGACCGCGGCTACAGTGGGAGGCGCTGCAGAGGCAGGCAGAGGAGGAGGAGGATATGGGGGTGAGTGGGGCTGCAGGTATTGGTGTTGTGGTGACGATGGGGAGTACGGGGAAACTTGTTGCGGCTGAATCGGGTAGCCAGGTTGTGGTGACGATGGATTGATGTTCATGTGGTGGTGAGGATGATGCGAGTGAACGTGATGGTGGTGGTGATTAAGGTGATGAGTGGGGTAGTGGGGCGGCATGTGAGTGGACTGGAAGTGAGTGTGGCGAGAGGGTTGTAATAGAGGGGCAAGTGAGGAAGGCTGGTCGACCGTTGGCTGCATGCCTGAGAGCGCTCCAAGAGGGGAGTAGCTGACCGTAGACTTGGACACCACGGACGGGCCTGGGGCGCTGCTATACACCACGGGCTGCGACGTAAACGAAGATGCCATGAATAATGAACCAGGTTATCCTTCACAACTTGAAGCTGTTCTATATTGAACAGCTCTAAATTCTAGATATATGTATAGGAAAATGTGGGTTAAACTAATAAATTGATTAGTGAATTTATGAACCAGGTTATCCTTCACAACTTGAAGCTCTTCTATATTGAACAACTTTAAATTCTAGATATAGGTTGAGGAAAATGTAGGTTAAGCTAATAAATTTATTAGTAAATTCATGGTTCATCTTACAACTTACTCGGTATTTAGAGAACTACAGGCATCTGTATTAAATTTCGGATTTAGTCTGATACTAAAAGATCGAGATTTTGGGCCAAATAACATATGGATGAAATTCTTTCCATGCGGCAGACATTTCAATGACCATCAGTAAAAATTAATTAGGCATAAATAATAACGACTAGGAAGTTCCGTTTAGTAGCAGTTTAATGACCAACTACCTCAATATTTGTACAAGCTTAAAAATCTATAAATAGCATCGCACAAGGGGAGAAATATATGTGTGTTTTTAATTAGAATAATTACCTGTACGTAATGAGTTTAAAAATCTAATAAATAGCACAAGGGGAGAAACATACGATTGTTTTAAATTAGAATAATTACCTTTAAATAAGTTTAAAAATCTATAAATAGCATCGCACAAGGGGAGAAATATACGTTTTAAATTAGAATATATATGTTAAAATTAGAATATATTGTATGTTTTAATTAGAATAATTACCTGTACGTAATGGGTAGGCGGGATGAAAGCCGTGGGTGGAGCGCCGGTCGAGTAAGCCGTGCACTTTGTGGTGGTCTTGGACTTCCTCTCGTGCACGACGGTCGTGGTTTGGCGGTCCCCAGCAGCAATGCAGTGCGGGGACGCCCCTGCCTGGGGCGCTGTAGGAGGCAACGTGTCTGTCTGAGTTGTGATGTATGTGATCGTAGACTCGACTATCATGCCTCCGTCTTCGGGACTTTTTGGAATGATTTCGTCGTGGTTTAACTCGGACCCGTCGGTGACGTTATCATCGTCATCGTCCCTGTCTGTGTCGTCGTGGGTTGTGCTTCGTTCACTGTGTCTCTTGACTTTCTTCTTGACGATGATCCGCTCCTCGACTTCTGTCTCACGAGTGCCTTCGGCTTTCTTAAGTTTCTTAGTGGTTTCCTGTACAGTGATCACGCTGCTCCGAGAAGACTTCGAGACTTTGCTCTTGGTTGACTTGTAAGAAATTTTTCTTTTGATGTTTAGGTTCGTAAATTCGCTTTCTGCAGAAGAGCTTGCAGCATGCGAAGGCGTTCGCTTGCGAGACTCAACGCAATAACTTGCAGCCATGATAGCGGAGGCGTTCAAACTGGCCATTCTCTTGGTGACGACCATGTCACGGATGTCCATCTGCACATCGAGCTCCCCTCTGCGTTTCTTGCGGACGGTTTTCATCTTCGCTGCGGAGTTATCCTTCTTCCGCTTGCCAGGCTGGAGGCGCCGGATGTGCACAGTATCGTCGTCGCTATCGTCTTCGTCGGAATCGTCATCGGTGTGACGCTTAGCGATAGTTGATTCGGTCCTCAGCACGAGACTCATCTCCTGCTTCTTGGGCTCGTGTCGGGGCGCATGGAATGGCATTCTTGCGTCCTCGTTCATGCAGTGCATCACGGCACGCGCGTTCAGACTCGCCATGCGCGCCGTGCGACGCAGGGGCGACGGCGACGACTCTGGTGAAGGCTTCACTGAACGCTGGACTGTGATTTTACTTTTCTTTGCAAGCAAACGGCCTTTCTTTTTCTTCCCGTCAAATCCTTCCCCATCACTTTCACTCTCCTTGCTACTCTCATCGTCTTCAGAAGCAAAAGTGACGGCTTTTCCAGGACTCATATTCTTCAAATTTTTATGCGAAAACTTCTTTTTCTTCGGCCCCATTTTTCTCTTCAAAACGACGCCACTTTTCTTCGAGCCATCTTGTTTCTTAGCGTAATTAACATCATCTTCCGACTCCTCATCGTCAGCGCACGAGTCTTCTTTCATTACTCTCTCTGTGGCAGGACAATCCTGTGTCTTTGTCGCATTTGACTTGGGAGTAGAAGTGCATATAGGCGAACCAGTGCACTCTACTTCAGATGTCACATCATCTTGCTCCATTTTGACGCGAATCAAGACGCTTTCTATTGCACTGCGAACGTTAGAGCTGCAATCGTTGTCTTTCGGTTTTTTAGGCGAAGACTTCTTGACACTCGGGGACTGGAGTTCAAAGGTTTCCCAACCCGAGTCTCCGGCAGTAGATTCCATCTGCATAATTCTCGCAGTTTTATTCGAAGTTGATTTGTTCTTCTCGAGCTTGAGGGCCTGACGAGCGGTGCTATAGTCCTCGAACTCTGATGAACCATCGTCGGTGTTGTACACATAATGGTCAACTTCTGCGCTCACCAATGCTGCGAGTCGTTTTACTTTCATTTCACGCGACATAATTTCTGCATCTTCATTTGACTCGCCCTTCAACTTTGCTTTAGGTCCTTTAACCTCTTTGGAAACCTTCGCAAAAGGATCATTTTTCTTTGATGCATTAGAACCTTCTTCATCAATTTTATTTTTGACTTTGTTCTTGCTACCCTTTGGGCGGCCTCTTTTCTTAGCCACTTTGTCGGGAGCACCAATCAATAACTTCTTTTTACACTTCTTTGTTGAGGGCGACTCGGCCTCAGGCAATATAGCCTCTAATTTCGTCGGGGTGTTCGCTCCAGGAGTCAAATTATTTGTTTCTCTATCTTCCTCGCCAGTAACGACAGCATTTCCGTAATCCAGCATGAGAGCCTTGCGCTTTTTGGGCGGTAAATTTTTATACATAGCTAAATTCACTGAATCTTTCAACTTTTTCTCGGATATTTTCCCATCTTTCTTCATTTTATTCTTAGACGACACGGTTTTTGGCTTAACTTTCAATTTCTTGGCAGGAGAAGTTTTTTCGGTCTTTGAAAGCTTACCTTTGGCGCAACCAGCTTTTGATTTATTATCCGGCGTCCGGGGTGAGGGAGGTTCTTGGGTAGCCTTGGAAGGGCTGCCGGGTTTACTCTTCATCGGCGGGCTCGGCAAGGCGTTCGTCGGACTGCGAGTCTTGTCCTCTGCTGAGGTGTCGCTCTTCTTGGACTTGGAAGAACCTTGCAGAGTTAGGGGACTGGGCTTCTTGGAGGGCTTCTCGGCAGTCTTGGGGGATTTCTGGAGCAGAAAAAAAACTTGGATTGGTATGAAAAATCGGGGTTTTTCACTGATTGACATGAATAACACATCACTAATTAATTAAAACACAAATTTTCATGTTACATGCTAATAAAATAATCACAAAACTCTTCGTATGTTACATTATTTAAATAAATCCGACTGCTTTCAATTAATTATACCTGACCAATTAACTTAGATGCCATAAAAACGAATTCCAGACAGCATTGTTCCTAAGTATACCTACTCAAGAACTATTCGTGTGCTTCAAAATCGAATAAACATTTACCATATCCATGGTGACAAGGAAGCGTTGTTGAGAGCTGATCAAGAGTGTTATATTACCTTGTTCATGAGCGCTGTTGAGAGCTGATCGAGAGTGTTATATTACCTTGTTCATGAACGCTGTTGAGAGCTGATCGAGAGTGTTATATTACCTTGTTCATGAAATTCAACATGTCAACACCATTCAACATGTCAACACCATTCAACATGTCAACACAATTCAACATGTCAACACAATTCAACATGTCAACACAATTCAACATGTCAACACAATTCAACATGTCAACACAATTCAAAAAGTCAACACAATTCAACATGTCAAATAGGAGGCCCTACTACTCGTATTCTACGAGACATCTTGTTTCTTTACTTAATTTACATCATATTGCGACTCGTCATTATCAGCGCATTCCTTCATCACTCTCTCTGGAGCAGGAACAGGACGTGGCTGTTTCTATAGGTCGCAATTCACTTGAAAATAGAAACCAATGAATTTTAATTCCGACGTCACATTATATGGCTCCATTTTGACGGAAAAATAAACGCTGTCCATTGCACTGCGAACGTCAGTGAACACTAAATAGAGAAAAAAAGGTACAAAAGGGTATATGCGAAGACTGAATAAAAAATAATTAGGGAAAAAAGGTACAAAAGGGTAAATGCGAAGACTGAATAAAAAAAAACACTAAATGGGGAAAAAAGGTACAAATGGGTAGATGCGAAGACTGAATAAAAAACTAACCAATCAACGAGACAATAATTTCACTGGTGGGTTATAATATATAATATATAAGGCTCATATAATATAAAGGGATATAAGGCTCATTCATTCGAAAACGTGTGAGCGTCAGCGAGGAACACTTCAATTACAGAGACTTCGTAACTTTGGTTCGCAGTGGTCAGCGTGCGCATCTGTGTTTGATAACACCCTACAGAATCGCATGAAATGATTCAAACACTTATGACAGGTAATGAAGCTGATACAATAATTAAATTAATTAGGGGAATAAAGATAGCACGTCGGCTATGAAAATGCATTATTCGAGTAATGATGAACGATGTTAACATTGATACCCATTTTCATGCGATTGAAACAGGAGGCACAATTCCCGAAGAATCCTTTAGTGGGCCCCATGTATTCCCATATTTCTAATGCATTGTTCATTATTATTACTGTAAAATACAAACATACATCGCAATACTATTTTACATTTTTACTTATTATTTATTTATTTATTACTTTATTTTTTCGCAATACTATTTTAAAAGATACATCGCAAACTAAAACAGTAAAGCGCAGCCTTCAACCACTCTGTCGGCAGCGCATGTGAAGCATAGAGAGAGAAAGCGACAGAGACGCGCGAGTTGTCGGTCGGTCGGGCAGACTGTGACACAAATTCTCGCCATTCCATCAATTTTATGACTTCAGTAAGCTGGAGACGGCAGCCTGTTGCAATTTGACATAATCCTTGCAATTCTGGGCTGCGTATAGCGATACTACGGCATAATGTTATACGAGTCAAGAGTGTTATTTTTAAACGTAGTACAATGAGAAACAACTTGCGAGAGAAAATGCAGGGGCTACAGAAGTACATGTACTTGCTAAATATTGACAAACTCTTTAATTTATAAATAATTTATATATATTGATTTGATTTATAATTAATTTAATTGAATATAATTTTGTTATATTCATAGCGATTTCGATGCATAGTACTTATTTAAGAAGACTAAATAAGATAGAGAAATAGAATCCATAGATGTTGATCTAGAAATTAGCCGTAGGTAATAGGAATGAGAATCGTTATCGTATTCAAGTGGAAGCAAAAATTAGAGCGTTAATCGGACTATAGGAGGAGTCGACAACGATCATCCGGCGATAAGTTCCGAGTGAAATCGATGTGCTCGATGAAAAATTATTCCTTATTCATGATTATTCAAATCTCAAACAAAGCGGTCAAAAATAGAGTGCTCTTGGTACAGTGGAAAACGTAACTTTTAGGAGACGCCTAAATTGTCAAAAAGAGAGAAAGAGTTTGGAACATTTGTTTGACCGGATCAAGTTTATGAGACTAAAATGGCCAAAGTTACTTAATCAATTTGTCACAAAACCACTTTTTATTGTTCCGCTCAACGTTTTTTTTTTTATATCCGAAGGCCGAAATCACAGCAAGTTTTCAAGAAAATGTAGCTAGTACAAAAAATTCCAACGTGCGAATGAAAAATATCGAAGGTTTAGACGCAAAAAACTTGCCAACATTTCAGAACTCGAAAAATTTATAAACGCGGTCAAGCTTGCAACACAAAAAAAAGAACAAATTAACGAAATTCAACTGGAAGAATTAAGCAGGAGCAGGCCGCCCTGATAGCACGCAAATGCTCTCATTTTTTGCCGCACAGTTGGAGCAGCTACTGGATAGATTTTTATAGGAGGGTGCTTTAAAGTTTTTAATTGATTCGTATAAACTGTCTCACTTTGTAAATGGGGCAGGAGCATTTTTAGCGCATTTTCTCATTTATGGAAAAAAGGCGCCATTGTGCTCGTCATGTCCGTTCGTCCGTCTGTCCGTCCGTCCGTGACCACACTTTCGTCGACGAGAAAATGTGCTCTCTGTCACTCACTGCAGTGAGTACTGAGTTATATTTTTTACGAATGTTAGTGTCATAAAACAAATGTTTTCTACTTCGCGGTGGAGAGTGTATTATATATATATTTATTTATATATAATTAAACTACTTAAAATGTTGACAGGTTACAGCACGCATTTGTTACCAATAATAATAATTTGTTACCAATAATAGTTTATTCAATAGCAACAAATCGAGAGAAGCCCATGAGAAACGCGAGCAATTCAGGTCAGGAGAACAGTGAGTGTGTACACAGATGCGCACGCACACAGATGCGCACGCACACAGATGTGCACGCACACAGATGCGCACGCACACAGATGCACACGCACACAGATGCACACGCACACAGATGCATACGCACACAAGCCACAGCCACACGACTCTCAACAAGCAAACAATCTCTCATCAATCAGCGTTTGTTGACGTTAAATATGAATGTTCGCTCCATTCATTTTGTAATATAACCTTGAGAATTGAACCAGAACATTTTACAATACCGGTATTTACCTGGAAACGCATTGCACACACACCTTTGTATTAGCATACAAGGTGGCTTGTTTATACTGCATAACTAAATCATCACAGGTTCCAATGTACATGCCATAAATTTCAAGTCGGCTTAATCCAACACACTATAAAGATGGTTATTTTCGTTTCATTTCGTTCTCGCGACGGAACTCCTTGAACACTACGCAACGTAAGAACCTGCTTTTTAGCGCATTTTCTCATTTATGGAAAAAATGCACTATATTGTGCTCGCAATGTCCGTCTGTCTGTGTCTGTCCGTCCGTCTGTCCATCCGTCCGTGACCTCAAGTTTTCATCGACGAGAAAATGCGCTCTCTGTCACTCACTGCAGTGAGTACTGAGTTATATTTTTCTACTATTGCCGGTCAAGCTTTCCGTACTGGCAACGTCGTCAGCCTGCTGCCCGCGGAGGAATTCTAGCGAAACGCTCACTATCGTCAAAAATACTGAAACGTAATCAAACACATCTTACGATGATGTAAGACGTGATTGATTGTGCACTATATCATTTATCATTTCATTTGAAAAATTATGATATTATCGTTGTCGTTACGTTTGAATTTACTCGAGGAATCACTTAATTAGAACACAATTCATGCACGAGATAAAATATTTAATCTAACTTAGCCAACTTTTTTAAAAGCTAACCGTAATATGAATACGTATTCTAAAAAATTTTTCTTTATTTTAGATTCACGAATGAACTCGGTTGTTCGTAAATTGTCTTGTTTCAACGTTTAAATAATTAACAAGAAAATACTGTGCGATGAATAAAATATGATAAGCCATAGAGCACCAGTAAGCAAACTGAAGGCAAAAAGGCGAGGCCCAAAAAGGTCCAATATCTTAACTATTATTTTACGATTTGTATCACAAGAAATTAATACGGCAGCTCTCCACGTTCTGCGGTGTCTGATGTAATTGTACCTAATGTGAAAATAATAAGGGGATAACCAACGGTCATACAAGGAAGTAATCTGGGGCCATACTTTCAAAAAAAGTTAAATGAACGTAAGTAATTACGCTCTATTTTCTTGTCTTTGATTAAGTGAACGTAAGTACTTACGCTCTATTTTCTTGCCTATAATTGGTAGATTTTGTTTAAAAGGTCGTCAATGATTGGCTGATGAACTTACGATCTCTTAACTTTTTTTGAAAGTATGGGCCCAGATGGTTAGTTCATCTGTACATGTTCTTGAGAGCGAAGACATGTCTTCGGCATAAAAGAAATACTATTCTCAATTTTCTATACCAAAGGGTATTTATTTTTGAGTTATTTATGCTATAAATTCCTGCATGGAACAGCGCACTGTAGCTGCAAGGAAATAAATTTCTGGGAATGAGATCAGAAACAACAACTTCTATTGCAAATATTAAACAGAAGTTTTTTTTAATATTTGTAATTTGTTTATTCGGGCTATTAGGCCGAAGTTCTGAGCAAGCAATATCAAATTTAAGAATGGCCAATAAGTGATCCCGTTGCTAAGGAGACTGTGTCACGTAAATATGTACAATAATAAAGTACGTGACTACATAACTTCTCCCCGAGCCAACAATGGTATAGCTGACACCTTCAATTTGTTCATCTTTCATTCATAATTCTAATTTACATTAATCCAAATACGTATTGCCCATTTTACGTTTGAGCTTACATATATTAGCGTACTATATATGATTATCCCACCACCGGAGAAAAAGTTCAATGGCAATAAGATATGTTATAAAAAATGTGCTGACGTTATTTTATTTACGTACGTACTGAGTTCCATTGATCTTTTTTAAGCAAACATTTTCGAAAATATGAGGCCAACTATGTTGGAAACACTCACCCAATTATCATCTATCAAAAATCAAT